TTCCCGGCGCTCAGACGGGGTTCGGCCGCCCCGCGCCGCTGCCGCAGACGGGCTGGGAACGGCTGAGCGAGCTCTGGCGGCGAGAGTGAGCGCCGGGCCGGGCTCGGGTGGGACGGGACGGGATGGGATGGGATGGGCCGGGCGGGACTCTGCTGGGCTGGGTCGTGGCGGTCCCGCCGTGCCTCTGCCGACCGACCCCGCGCCCTTCGCCGCCCTTCCCTTGCAGCGAGCGGCAGCAGTTCCCGGAGGAGACGGTGAACATCGTCAAGGCGGCGTTCACGGCGGGCGTGGTGGGCTGGCTCTACGGGGGGTTGCCCGCCTTCGTCAGCGCCCGCAAGGCCTACATCGAGCGCAGCCACGGCGAGCTCTTCCAGAACCGCGCCGATGCCGTGGTACGAGCCCCGGGAGCCCCGCGGTGCCGGGCAATGCACGGGGGGAGCGCTGGGACCCGCAGCGCCCCGGGAGGCCTCGGCCTTGGCAARCCGCCGGGTGTGGAAGCCGCCCTTGGAGCCGCGGGCTGGGGGACACCAGAGTCCGTAGGAGGCCGGGTGGCCTCGTGTTTGTAGGACAYGTGTGTGTGCCACGCTCTGGTACTTCGTGCCAAAAGGTTTGCCGGGAGTGTGTAAATGCGTGCAGCCTGCCCGGTCAGCTGCTGCGGGCGTTAGCGGTTCCCTGAATTACACTCAGTTAGGTTAATAAAGTGTCCATCGTTACGGAAAAAGTTGGTAGCAAAGTTTAGCGCGCTGTTAAATGGCTGATTAATATGTCTCGAAAAAGCTTTCAGCTTTTAAATTTTGGTGTGCTGACAGGAGACTATATAGTGTCAAATTGGGTTTGTGCTCTTGTCTTATTAATGTGAGTCGTTTTAAGACCATTTAAAATTCTTTTAGAACTACAGCACAACAAAGAACCTTTGTCACATTTTGTAGATGTGTTCGAAGTTTTAAGGGTTTGTTATTCAATTAAAGTGTTGGTTACCTGGATTATGAGGAAGAAAACGCCATTAAAAATCTGCCCGATGTAACTTTTGCATGACTTAAAATTAGATTTGGCCCCTGTTGTAGTGACCTGCAAATTATGCCTGCCTGGCTTCAGTCTGATGGCTCTCTGGTATATCTGCACCCAGGCTTGTAACCTACACCACAAGCACTGGAAAAGAAAATTTATTTACTCTCATGGTTATAAATCCAACATTTTTAATTTTTGTGGAGCTTCTGTTTATGACATATTTTAAAAATCCTTTTCAAACTAGTAAGTGCCAGCGTCAAACTGCAGAGACTGATGGTATCTTAACATTTAATGTAAATGGTTATTATTTAGTCACTATTATTTATTGATGGTTATTATTTATTAATACTAATGAACTTGGAATAATGAAGTAGTTTTTAGTTTTTCCCCCTTCTCCTCTGCTGCTTTCCTGTACGGTCCTCAGAAAGCCCTCCTACTTCACCCAGATGTCTTTCAGCAGCAGGATTAGAAGGACCAATAGATATTCCAAGCTGGAATTGATTMTTGGTTTTCCTGTTGGTGGCTGGGAGTAGCTTTCCCTCTGAAGCTGGCTGATTTGTTCCCTTAGAGTCAGGATGTCAGTCCCAAGGGACATCAGTCCCACAACCTGTCATGCTTGCAGGGGGCTGGTGGTGCTGGCAGGAGGACGGGGCTGTGACCTGTGACATGTCCCCTCTGTCCCCTCAGCAATCCGCACACCGTGCTGGTCTCCGGAGTTTCATCCGCTACGGCTGGCGCTGGAGCTGGAGGGTCACGGCTTTCACCACCGTATTCAAGTAAGTGYTTCCCATTGGCAGTGGGAACAGAGCTGCCATGTGCTTGTGCCCATCCTTCAGCCAGGAGCCCTTCATGCCAGCAGTGCCCAAGGCTCCGGTAATTGACTAAAGCTCCCGGTGTTGCCTTAAYGTGAATCTGGTTGATTCACACATTAAGAGAGTTGAACCTTTTAGAATTGTCCCAGAATTCACATCTTCTAATGAGCTAACACAAACCCTAAAAGTGGAAAAGCCCTGTTCATACATCTAGTTCCTGCTGGTACTGACTTGAACACTGTTCTTCCCTTTCTTGACAGCTTCTTTCTGCTTTTGCTTCATCTCTTTTTGTCCGTGTTTCTCTGAGGGAGTGTTACAGTGTGTTGGCAGTTTCTGGAAGTGCTTTCTAACCCGCACTGATTTTTCTCTTTCTATGTCTCATTACTCCTAGTTTGTACACACTGGTGTTACAGTTGTCACTACTCGTAGTTTGTATACGCTGGTGTACTTTGTTCTTGTCCTCAAACACTTGCAGAGGATCAGCCTTTTCTTGAGTAGTTGCTGAGTATCAGACCTACCAGTTYTATATACCACTTTAGGCCTTCAGGATTTTTCTTACACCCACTAAATCAATGCAGAGATGGTGTTCCACTTCCCTGATTTTCTTCCTTGCGTGTTTCAGTGCATTTCTGACTATAGAACATCAAACTGAGCATGGTCTTCTCAGTAAAGCCCTTTTGAGCTAGGGATATCTCCTTCCTTGTTGTTCAAACTAGTAAATTTATGTGTTGTCCTAAACCTGCATTGACTCTCTCTGCAGATGTGTTCTGGTTAAATTCTCCTGCATTTGAGATCCCACAGTGCTGACTGGCATTATTTTATATTTCTGTCTCCCTATTTATTTTGTTCCTGTCTGAATTTCTTCCTTTCTTCTTGCTCTCTCTCCATTTCTTTAGCACCTTTTAGTTTAGTATCTGGTTTTAGATTTAGTTACTGTGTTGTTTGCTTTCTCTCCAGGAGATTTTGATTTCTTTGGGTTTCTTTGGATTTGACATGTAACCTCGTCATCTTCCACCAGGTGTCTCCCCTGCAGTTAGATCAGCACCTTTTTCGCCGACCCTTTGGAAAATGTTCTGAACAAGGATATTTGCTGCTCAGCATTGTTTCTAAAAAGCCCTTCAACTTGCTAAAAGTTGAAGGTTTAGTCCTGCAGTTGTGAAAACTTTCAAGTTTCACAATTAAAACCCAAATTGCTTTGGTTTATTTGTGTAGGGGAGGAGAGGAGGATTGCTGGTTGCTAGTCATTGTCATGCAGGAGGCTTGCTGAAATGCTGGGGAGGATGTGGCTGCTGAACTGAGAACAGAAAGTGTTTTGGGGCTTAGCTGATGTTTTTGGAGGAGATGGTTTATCTACCCTGGAGGGAAATCTGATGCCACAAGAGTAGGTGACCCTGCTGGTGTCGTGAGTGTGACTTAGCTGTTCTGCTGGGGACTGTTCATAAGGCAAGATCTAACTAACATGTGCTTCTGGGGATAAGGGTCTTGCATCAGGACTGATTAACTCAATGACAGGGCTTTTTCATTGCTCAGTTTCTTTTATTCTTGACTCTACTGTATGTTCCTAGGCACTAGAGCAGGTAGTTCAGAGAAGTTGTGSATGCMCCATCCCTGGAGGTRTTCCAGGCCGGGTTGGATGGAGCTCAAAGAAACCTGGTCCAGTGGAAGGTGCCCCTGCCCACAGTGGGGGCTTGGAACTGGATRATCTTTAACATCACTTCCAACCCAAACTGTTCTATGGTTCTGTATAATGGAAAAAAAGATCTTTGATTATAAAAAAGAAAAATAATATCCCAGATCCAGACCAGGAACTCTGATATTCCCAGCCTGTGTCTGTGCAGCTGCCTGCAGTCAAGTCACAGAAGTCACGGCTGGTATGTGTGTGCTCTGAACAGATGGGCAGCCAGGCAGTTAGAGGCAACCTGAGGGCTGGCTTAATGAAATCCAGCTTGATTTCAGGCTGTGTTTTGCTGCTTCTCTCTTTCCATGTGCAAGTGCTGACTTCTGTGCCTTACCTTTGCAGCGTGGTGAGCACAGGCCTGTCTGCGTACCGTGATAAAACCACCATCAGTAATTTTGCTGCAGCAGGAGGTAAGAATGCTGTGACCTGGGGTGCTTTTCTRCTTGTTAGCAAGGGTTGTAGCAAAAAAGCATGAGCAGGTATCCACATCCCTTGGGTTTGAGCAGCCTCTGTGCTGTTGGGTTTTGCTTCTTGTTGCATTGACTTTGCTCTGTTGTTTGCCTGCTGAGTGTTTTTATTTGTAACAGATACCAATGCACTGCTGAAAACATTGGGGAGTTTTGGGGTTATCAGTTCATCTGCAAGGTACTTGCTGGAGTATTTTGGGTAAAAAATGCTTGTGRGGGGTGAAGGCAACACTTGGTGCATAACCTGCTCTCATAAGCAGGGAAAGCATTTTTAATTTCTACTTTTGGTAACAATTCAGCACACTGCTTATGAGCTGCTCTTTTCATGCTAAGTTTTGCATGCCTGCTTTTGGCAACGGGGCTCTGGGTAAGTRATCTGCTTGTTCAGTTTTACAGGGCCTTTATTGCCCTTACAGTTGGATACACGTTTTACTGSTCTTCTCTGCCTTACATGGCAGCTACTATTATTAGCTGTTGTTGAACAGAAAAAGGGGGAGAGGGCTCGTRCTGCAGCCTAGAGAGAGCTTGGTTTTACTTTCATAGATACTTTTATGGTACAGGAAAAACTTTGGCAGTTTTTCTGAAGCAGAAAGAACTTTGTGCAGTGTTTCAGTGCAGGGACCCGTGGGGGCTSTGTGGTGGGTGAGGTTCCATCCCACTGGCCATGGCACTTGCTTTCTACTCTGTTAAAAGCAGATGTCAGCTCACGGAGAAGAGAAATGCAGCAAAGCAGTTCTCTGAGTTGGTGTGAGATGGCTATGGGATGTTGTTTCTGGTTTCAGTGGGTTTGTTCTTTTTTTAGCCTTCACAGGAGCCCTTTTCAGAATGCACTTGGGTCTTCAGGGCCTGGCAGGTGGCATCATGTTTGGAACAGCATTTGGGTGAGTTGTGAGTGCTGCCAGTGAGAGATTGAGACACTTCAAGCTACTCTTGAAGGGTTTTGGTTAGACAGTGGCTGCACACAGCAAGCCTGTATGTCATAGGAATCATAGGAGGGGCTACAGGAGCTTCCCTTCCTCTCTTGCCCTGAGGCATGTTCTGTATTTTTCTTGGGACCTCACTTTTCTTCCAGCCTTTAAACTGTTTTTCTTCTTTGTTTCTTGATTTGTTTTTGCTGCTTTCCCAGTAGTGAGAGCTCAGTGCTCTCAGAGCATCCTATTTGCTGCTGTTTGCTTATTAGAGGGGACAGCATCAGCTCCATCAAAGCTAAAATGTGGAGCAGCAGCTATTGGGAAGCACTGAGGGAGTAGCTGCATGGCTGGGCTACACAACCCAGGGCTGTAAGGTAGCACATGGTCTTTGTGTGCCCTTCTAGCAGTCCTGAATCTCCTAAAGCTCCCTGGGTCATGGAGGAACCCATGGTTCTCTCTCAGAGGCTCTGTCCTTCAGGACAATGATCTTTGACTCAGGAGAAATCTGACTTCACATGCAGATTTCTTTTCAGAGTGATGATTGGTAAATACCCTCACAAGGGAATCTAGGGATCCTACCTGAATGAGCTTTATTTGTGTTACTTGGCACCATCAGGGTGCYTGTCTGAGTTACGATAGGAATTTGATGGGGTCTTCATTGGACACCATAAATCCTTCCACCCCTTTGTCCAGTGCATGCCTGTCAATGAGTAAATTCAAAATRTGTTATCACAGGGGCGCCAGTGAGTCACAGCTGAAGAGAGGCTTTGTTTGGTGGATGATGGTAGAACAGGAGTACCTTAGTCTGTGGTGTGATGTGAGTGTTGGGGAATATGACACTCCCCTGATGTGACATCTGGCCCCTGCCTGCTCCTTTTGCTGATGCCAGTATGTTACTGCTGTTGTGTGTCCCCTGGGTGACTGGTGACTTTTCTGCCTCCTCCTCTAGGATCCCTGCAGGAGGCCTCTTAATGGCAATGTATGGCCTGGCTGGTGAGACCTTGCAGGACAAGAGGAACCGTGAGCGCAGGGAGCTGTACGAGCAGAAGCTGGCAGAGTGGTGAGGAACARCTCTGCCCCTTCCAGTCACGGGCTAGGAGGGTGGCTGGGTCTGTGTGTTCAAACATTTTAAGAAACCATGGCACACTAGGCTTTCCAAATCTCAGTTCTTCTCTTGGTTGTGGGTGTTGTTCACATACCAGTTTGAGAACTGCTGATTCAGTCTTCCCAGTATATTTTCGTTGCTGCCTTCTTTCCATCCCTGTTAAAGAGAGGGAAGAAGAAGAATAGCTAGAAGCTTTGGGGGAAAAAAGGCTGTGACACTGGTCATTTGAATTACTGAAACTCACTCACTAGTTCTAGAAGAAATTTTCAGGAGCTGGGATTCTGCAGTTCTGCCTCTGTCAGGAGGATACAGCCATAAAACTGCTTTCCACACTCTTTTCTCCTTAGGCAATCCAGGCTCAATGTGACTGAAGTCTTAGGCCAAACGGAAAACAATGCCCAGGGAAGACCAGAGACAGAGAGAAAAAGAGAATTGAAGAACTACTGAGTCTTCCCCACATGTGTTGTAAGAAGCTACRTAAGCGCTTTGATCCTGCTTGTGAAAGCCTTCAGTCAAGGGATCATGGAAGACATCTGTGAATGCAGTTGTATCCTGTAAAAAAATGTTTTGTGGAAACATAGTTCAGGGATGGATGTCACTGCACAAAATGCTTGGAAGGGCCAAACCTATTCCACCTGACAAGGTGGAAGTACAGACTTTACAGACTAGGAAGTGTCATCTAGGTTTGGCAGGGAATGAGAGCTCCAGAGCCTCATCTTGAACCCATTTCACTGCTGAAAATGTCCAAACCACGACTGATGGAGAAATACTCAAGGTAAAGGAGCCTAAGAATGGTTTGTGTTAGCTAAAGGTACCCTGATTCCAAAAGTTAATTATGCCCTGGTGAAAACTTCTCTTCTGACAGTGCCTGAAGAACTTGCTGATGGTGGGTTCTTCCTTGGTTCCTGCAGTACTTGGGGTATTTTGCAGTCAGTGTTGGGGAAGAGTGGAGGAGCTGGGAATTATGTGGAAATACCCTGAAAAATGCATGTTTTGAGTTCCTCACAGAAGTCTGAGGGGACCACAGAAAACATGACTTATTTCTGGTGGTGATGGTGGAAGAGTTGGCACTGCGGACACATTTAACAATAAAAAGGCCTCTAATTTCATTTGRAAGTTAGAAATTAGGGGATGAGGGGAAAATTTGGGGGAAATGTGGTTCAAGACACTCAATAAAGCCATCTAGCAGTGGTGACTGTGTCCATAAGCTCTTTGTGTCAGCACAGTGGGTACTTTATGTTAGTACAGCATTGGTACTAGAGAAGCATCCTGGAGTGATATTCCATGAGATGAGCTCCAAGATCCCGCCAGCAAGCAATAAAATCATCTGGTGGTGTCAGACATTCCCCTATCCAGASAGAAACAAAGGCAACAGCCAGGAGAGTGCCAGCTCTATTATTTTGATCTAGAGACAGACTGTTAGGTGAGAGCTGTTACCCATGAGTGGTTCTAGAGTTAATGGTCTACACTCAGAAGGGTGAGGTGGCCCATCACTGTTCCCCCAGAGCAGGAGGTCAGAATTCCAGTTCCATTTCTTTGTTGGAAATTTTTCTCCTACRTCCAGGCAGGGGGTTTGGGTGTTCTTCTCATAAGAAAAGGGTATTCAGTCTGTTCTGGTTGAATGCTTTTCCAGATAATTACTGTTGATTGAAATATGAACAGTCGATCCCACAGAGCGTGTTCCACCCACCCAAAGCAGATTTTTGGCACAGTTTGCTTTCAAGAAGGTGTTGTGTTTTCTGACTTCTGAAATGAGCATTTAATTTTTAAACACCCCAGTGTAGCTCATTTTTCCATTGAAAAAATGCAAGTATTTCAGGGTTGTCATCAACCAGCTCTGATTTTCCTTTTCTGTATGTAAATGAAAGATCTGAATAAGCAAAGATACGGATATTTCTTTCCCTTTTCCTGTTTTTTTTCTTTCCCTCTGCATGGGTTGGTGACAGTAATGGTGTTGTCCTCTGCCCCCTCAAAGAAGAAAATAGGCCTTTCCAAGTGACAATTTTGCCATTGTGCTTACACAGCAATGTCTTATCTTCTTCTTTTTTATCTTCTTTCTCTTTGCTATTACATCCCCACCCAATATCCCACACTCTTATCTGTACAGCAGCTCTGATGACATTTAGCTGTGTCATTGCTCTGTATCTATTCCTATTTGGTGGTATTTGATGTGATGCCTAAGGAATACTAATTTTCCTGGGCCTGACCGTTGTTGCAGGGATGTTCTTCCATGGGAGGGAAGGCAGAGCTGAGGTGTAGAGTTTTGTGGATTTTCTCTTTCTTTGAAGGGGGGGCTGCTACATGTTCTTATGTTGCCCATTAGCCAGGGGAAGCAAAGACTTCCAGCTATACTCAAGATGAGCAACCATTTGTTTCTCAGTTTCCTACTGAATTTAGTTCCCTGCATTTCCTTATTTCTCAGACTGAAATCACTGTCCAAACAGRGATGAAGAACTGGTTCAGAATTTATTTTTAAATACACCTGTAAGGGATTCTTCACATCCCCACTCCCTCCTCCCCCAGCARAAGCACAGCACTGAAGTTATCGAGCCCCCACTTTCGGAGTGGGTAACCTGAGCARCAGGGATACAGTGAGAACACCTTACTCTGGGTTTTGCTTTTGTAGAGAACCTGTTTGGAGGGAGAGGGATGAGCTGTAGCTACACTGCTCAGCTAATCCATGGCAAACTGACAGATGTGAAGTGTGTAGAAGTCCCAAGTTGGGTGCCTGAGTGTCATTTTTTCATTGCTGTCAGCACACCAAACAGAGCTGTGGCTTGATGCCAGCTGTGCCTGATACAGCTTTTGTCAACAGCTGCATCATCTCTCTGGATGCTGTGAAATGGTGGCTGGGGCTAACATGAGCAACTGAGAGGTTCTACAACTTCCCAGCACAGACAGAAACATCTTTTATTAGGAAGGAAACAAAACTGAATTTACCATTTATTTTTAATATAATTAAAGGAGGAGCCCCAGGAAAAAAAAAAACATACACAAAACACCCGTGGTGAACAGAGCAGCTCACCTGCACAATGACACAGATACGAAGCTGAGGAGGTCTCACAGAAACCATTTGTGTGCAGTTCACTGAATACAGCATAAGGCAGTAGAAAACATGATCCAGAGTATTAGTGCTTAATGAAAAAATTAACTATATAACCTGTCCATCAAGAATATAAAAACAACCTGATGCCTGAGATATTTGTCATATTTTCTAAAGGAAACTTTTGATTTTCTTTAGAAGGAGTTACTGAAAGTGTTACTGGAGTCTATGGTGAAGYTGAAAGGTTTGGCACAGTGCAAAAGACAAACCCTTCTCTGGAAGGCTGCGCAATCTGTGGTCAGRAGCAAAAGTAGAGAGCATGGGATGGTCAGCAGGAAAACAGGCTGCTACAACTGTCAGAGCTGTGCTGGGACTGGCAAGGTGTAATTGCAGTGTGGTTATAGGGAAAGACAGTGTTGGAAATGAGCAAAGTTGGAAGTGAATGACAAAAGAGGATGGTCAACCTGCAAGAATCTGGTGGTTTGTGCTGGAAGGAACAAGCACAGGCTGAAAGAACAGGAAGCCTGAAAACAATGAGATGCATCACTCATGAACCAAGTCCTGCAATAGCATCAGGCTGCCTTTTGGAAACACCCTGATTTCTGTCACCTGTGTCCTGTTAGCAGCCAGAATATACAAGTGCAAAGGGTACTGTTTCCTTATCCCCCAGCTTACCTCCTTTTCCCTGTCAAAAACTCCGTTAGAATGTTCTGAAGTTCCCATTACACTTAGTACAATGGGAAAGCAGTAAAAAGGTAATGGGACAGCATGACTCTGCAGGAGTAGAAAGGGAGCAGTGTYTTATTTTTCACTTAATCTCTAAGCTCAATAGTCTATAAACCACTTTTAATCCTCCTATTTTCTCCAGCAATGTCTCAGTATGTACCAACTAGAAAAAAAAATGAAATGGATGGCATATGTCTTTGTTGTGCCCTAGGAAGATAAACAGCTCAAGCAATGACACATCCCACAAAGAGGACAGCATCATGCTTTCAGACTTTGATTTGCTGTGATAACTTGGATAGAACAGTGAAGGAATGGGTATAGCTTGCAGAGCAAAAGGGAAAAACATTCCAGTCAAACTCAGGGCAGGGTTGAGTTAGGTTAGTATGCAGAGTTGCTTAGGAAGCTTGTTGGGGGTTGGGGCATTTTCCTCCTTTCCCCTCAAAATGAGAAACGGTTTTTTCCTACACAGTAGGCAAGAATGTCACCCGGATCAGACAAGTCTTGTCCAATGTTAGCATCCTGTAGGGAGATTCCTTCTAGTCCTGGCTGGGTAGAGAGAACACTGGCAGAAAGCAGCAATGTTCAGTGCAAAGTAAATGTCCTTATGTTGCTGTGAGAGACTCCCAAAAATCTGCAGAGCTTTCCCTAACAAGCATCCCTAGGCAGAGGTACACACAAAAGCAGACCCCTGTTTATAAAGCAAGGGCCCGAGTTCCATTTGATTACAGTAGATACACACAAGATAACCACTGACTRTCACACAAATTCCAGTGGGGCTTTACAGTTGTGGGGGAAGGAATGGCAAGGCTGTCCTTTCAGGAGAGAAAGGTTATGAGAACTTGTGCCACTGCTGAAGATAAGCAATATTAATTAGCTCTTGGGGGTGCGGTCAGTGTGTATCAGTCTATAAAAAGTCTTGYAGCGCTGCAAATAAGCATGAGACGTATAGACTCTCTTCCAAGGTGGGTTTTTTTCATTAAAAATATGTCCATTATTGCCTCTTTAGGGGAGAAGTGACATGTATCTGTAATGGTAGAGTCAAAATCCAAAGTCCTCCAGCATGAGGAACAGATACTTGAGTGAGGCTGAATAAAAGAGTTTTGGCTGCCCCCAACAAGGCAACAGGGAGGCACAAACTGATGAGATTGTGTGTTGGGGTATCCAAGGGCAGCTCCGTGTTACTGAAGGGGTGGATGGCCATGGGCTCCCTGCWAGGGCTCTGCAGGCCCCTGACACAGAGGCAGCATCAAGCCAGAGGTTCCTGAGGTCCTGACCTGTGTGTCACTGGTCACATCCTTCTGCCCTGCTGCAGGAACACGGAGGGGCCTCCCAGTTGGAATCCCAGCGACCCCATTGTAACGAGGCCACCTGACAGCTTGTGTGGCCTGGGTGGAGGTTTGCATGCGTTCACAGGAGGTGATGTCAGTCACGGTGGGCAGTTTTTCTCCCGCTGTCACCCCCTTGCAGAGAGCTGAAGGGTCCATGCCACAAGCATTGCTGCACAACGAACGGTGGAGTCTGCAGTGTGGAATGCACAGGGTGAAGAACCTGAGAAACTCAAAGAAAAGACTTCACTGATTTTTTGTTTTTTCCGCTTAACCTTAAATGTACCCCGGTAATGTTGCGGAGCCGACTGAGAGGTGTCACCTGCGATAGCGCTCCACAAGAGGGCTCCTGTTYCCTAAAGTCGGAGCTGTTCAGAGCTGGGCAGCGCAGTGAGCTGCAGCCTGGCCCAGCGCTCCCTGCCAAAACCTTGGCAGCGCCCTCGGGTGCCTCCCTCCGCGGASTGAGGGTGACTAATGAAGTGCTGCCCTATTTTAGCAGCAGTGGGACATGGCTCAGTGCATCACGAGATGGYACTCGGACACCAAGGAAGCACAGCTCCCATCCCAGCCCGCAGAGAGCAGCTGTCCCAGCCACTGGAGTCGGGAAACACCAGCCACCTATAGGAAAATCCTGGCAAACTTCTATAACAAAAAAGAATGGGTTCATTCCGTAGGTGAAGTCCTGCCACTGCCTTCGCAAAACTCCCCAAAATTCATGCTACCAAGGCTCTAGTATCTGTTCCAGGCAGGGCCTTCCCCAGAGGAAAACATGAGTGGGTGGTCAAGTTTGGAAATGAGACGAGTGGCCCAAATGAGAGTTTCCTCTCCTTTCCATCTCAAAACTACTAAGCTTTTACATTTCTGCAATGCACAGTGTGACAAATTTATAACTTCCAGGACACCACAGCTGTTGCTCTACGGCATTACCCTGGCAATTCCACAGGCATTACCCTGGCAATTCTGCATGCTGTGTGAGAGCAGGAAATGCAGTCACCTGGATAATGATGTGAATAAGGACAGTTAGCTGCTAATCGTCCCTTAAGTCTCTKCACTTAAGTGTCTTTTTGGAGGACACAACCCTGAAAACTGCTGAGCTTTCAACCCAAAGAAAATATAGTCCTTTGTAATCATAAACCCTGGGCAAGCTAGACTTCCCCAGCCCATCTTTGGTAACACTCCATTATTGAAAATAACCCCGTTTTAAAATATGAGTGTTTTCTGGGCAAGTTTGAGGGAGGAAACTTTTGCTTCTCCATTCCTCCAGCTGCTGAAGAGAATGGAGATATCTTCAGAATTGGACTGGTRTGGCTGATCTTACTGGGAAAGCTCCCTCCCTTACCACTATTTGATCAGTTCTTACTTTCTATTATCAGTGAAGAATATTACCTGCAATGTGATCTGGTCATACAGATGATGTTTCATGTGTCCCTTTAGAGCTCACAGATGGCWTTGTGCCTTCTTTCACACCCTCTTCCACTGAATCCTGGTGCTTACAACAGTGAGAACAAACTGAAAAAGAAGATCCCTTGTTAGTATTGGGAATCGCAGAAGACATAAAAGTGCTGAATCCAAATGTSTTCTTCAACAAAGTTAAGTATAACTGAGAGAAAGAAGAAATTAAAGAAAAATAGATCCTTTAGGTCTTGTGACTTTCATTTTAATTTGGCAGGACTCACCCCTGCAGTACGTCTGAATATTGTCATAGTCTGMTCTGATAGAAAGCTCTGTTATGAACAAATATTATCTATATAGTGCCATATGGATAAAATAGCTCTCATTGGCACAGGGCTYGAACCTCAGCCTGGCACTAAACCGGCTTGCTGAGATAAGGTCAGAAGGGAAATAATGATGGAAGTTACATGTCACTAAATGCAGTTACCCTATCGAGTGAAAGAATGCTGGTGTTCAAAACAATGAACTCTTTCAGTGCTTTAGGAGGAGCTCAGATTAAACAGATCCCCTTAATATCTCACCATCTATGACTGAATTTTAATAGCTCAAGTTGAGTCTTGTGCAATTGTGCCTGCACAAATTATGCAACATGAATCCTAAGCTATTCTTTAAGYGACCCCTAATCCTGGTCCTTTGTATTTTCATTCTTAAATTACTGCAAAATAGGCTGAGAGCTCCTCAGAGTAGGCGGTTGTGAGCATCAACAAAGCATCTGATTGTTCTGGCCACCACAACAATCACACATCTGAGAACTCTTACTTCCGTTTTGTTTTGCTCTGCCTTTCTATTCTTCCCTCCCACACTTCAGCTCTTTGAAGCACGGCTTTTCGAGCTCAGAAACCACTCTTAGCAACTCCTGACTCAGCTTTCCACAGGCCAGAACAACAGAGGTGGTCTCAGACCTATTCTGAGCTCCCAGGAGAGCTCTTGAAAGGTGACCTGCAGCAAACCAGCAGGAAACACTCTTAGGGCCGACACTTCCCTTCCCAAACAGATGGCCACGCACAGCAGCACTGGAATGGGACAATGGTACAAACTGGGAAATTGTTTGGAAGTTCTGGCTTCAGTTTCTTATACTTCTTGGTTTCTTTTACAGTTTCTTCCACACCTGGTCTGGAAAGTGGCTGAATGAAAATGCACCCCCTGACTCAGCAAATCTCCCTGTGCATATTATGGGAGTGGGACTAAAAGGGAAATTCCAGTTAATGCAGTTTGCAGGTGAYTGCATTCTACCACAGGGGTATGCTTTTCACATTTGCTTTAAAAGCAATTCAGTTCCTATATAAAAGGTTATCTCWGAGTGCTCCAGGATCTTGCTAATTTAATGGTAAGGAACCTTTTAATTTCCAGCCTATATTTGTTGAGAGCCAAATCTTCTGACTCCAGTTCATTTTCTCCTATAATTAGAAGTTCATTATACATGCAGCTAACAGCACAGRCTGTGATCAACTGTGATTTTCTTGGTTTCACCCTGCTTGTTGCTTTCCTGTTGACACAGCCCCAGGAAACAGCAGGGGAGAAGAACTGGCACTGGTGTCATAAGGGCACAGGGGTGGAAAATGAGGAGGTGCACAGGTGTGACCAAGAGTCACTGCCTTCCAGAAGCTTCCTTTTGTGATAAAACATAAAAGGAAATTAGCTCAGCTTGACTCAGTGGTCACGTTGGTTTTTGAAGGGATGTGGTTGATGAGAAGGGGAAAAGAAAAATAGTAATGAGACCTCCACACCTCTTACTTGGGAGTGAACTTGTCTGAAGTTGAAGTAGAGGTATCAGAAGACATGAGCATGACAAACTTACAGCTGTCTGTAAGTGGATTGAGTCCTTGCTGCTCCGAAAATAACCTTTTCCAATGGGGAATAGCACGGCCAGATGGTGTAAAGTGGCCTGAGCATAGAGCCCTCAGTGTGGGATTCTTGTTCCCAGATGTGGCTTCCCCAGGGACCTGACAGAACTCAGCTGGGTATTCTTTATCCTCATGTGTTGCCAGGCCTGCTGTCATTCTCCAGGACTGCCTGGCAAGGCTGCTCACAGGGTGTGGGTAAAGCATCTACTGCTGTTGACTTCCAATCCTTCCTGCCTTTCTAAATCTATTAAATGTCTGCCCACAACTTCAGGGACTTTCTGGCGAGGTCAGCTCAGACATGATTAGCAACAGCTAGCAACAGCTAACAGATGAGATCTTAAAAAAAAAAATCATCTGCTGCCAGCTGACTCTGAGATACTTGAGGTCCCCATTTGCCATGGTCCCCTTGCTTGTCTGGAATTACTGAAGACTTCMTAGGGTGGGACCAGACACTTTACCTGTGCCATTTTTGGCCATACAAAGAATACAAATCTAACTCTCCTGGTTGGTGTTCTCATAAAAGTAGGACATTGCTATGCTGAAGTCTTTCCTGTGGCCCTAACACTGTGTATTTTTGTTACTTTGGCTCAGTGACTTCCTGAGGGATTGTCTAAGTAGGGTGTGGAGAGATCCAATTTTGAAACTCTCAGTGCTCAGCCGTATCTATCGTGATCACCAAGTTTCTTGGCATTTCATACCTTCTTAAAGCATCTTAATGCATGAAAATGAACCTTTGTGAACCTTTTCATTACCCCTGATTTTGGAAATATTTTGATCTGCTGTCAAAACTCCCCGTCACCCCTTCACTTTCTAACCTGAACTCTAGTGGTGCCTGCACACAAAATGTAGGAAAATCACGAGCTAGACTTAGATTTTGTGACAGTGGATGCTGAAAGGAAAAAAAAAAAAAAAAAGGAAATGAGAAAAATTAGAAGAAGGTACAGAAATACCTAGTGTGACAGTAAAGTTTCTATAAATGTGTATCCTACATAGAAACTCCATCAACACTAAGAGACATTTTCTTGAAAAAGAAGCTGAACTTACTGTGCCTTGGGAGGTATCTTGCTGCCAGGGTGATAGCCAGAATGAAGATGATAACGATGATAATTGAAGCAGTAATGACATTATAAGGTGGAGGCACAGGAGGAACAACACAGTTGTTGGTTTTTTCTGAGACAGGAGAAATAAAAAATAAATGAAGAGAYCAACAGGATAATGGCATTTTCATGTAAATGCAGATATATGAATTTTGGTGGTTCTGGGCAAATTTTAACTCAGATATTCAGCCCAAAAATTCAATAAACAAATGAATGAAGCTGGGACCTAAATTTCTTSTATCTACCCACATGTGCTATGGGCTGAAATTTTCAACACCTCCACAGAATGTGAAAAGCTGGGTCTTTGTCCAGAACAGGACTGAGACAGGAAATATTTACAAACACATAAGCTGCTTTAAGGAAATGATCTAGGCTTGGTGAAAATGTCTGAGTCCGCTAAAAAACTTCCATTCCCAAAGGAATAATGCAGTTTTCCTTACTGTTTTCATCAGATTTATGCCTAATTTTTTTCCCTTTGGATTCACAGGTAAAGGAGAATGATGCATTAAACAGGCTGGAATAGACKTTTTTCTGCATGACAGGAAGAGAGTGTTGTGGCAGAGTTCAGTTTCAGTGGGTCTGGAGCCTTTGGCTTTTCACCACTGGAGATGACCACTTTGCCACTGGGATTTTAGAGCAGAGACTGGGCCATTCTTGCACAGGACAGGACTTGCTGCATGTCCGTAGGTCTCCAGACCCCTGTGCCCAGACCTTCAGTTCTTCTATTWTCTGCATGTGGCACAGGTAACCATCATGCCAATCTTCACATTAACCTGATCTGCTGTTCAATGCTCCCCCCACACTGCAGGGTTTGCCTCCTGCATTTACCAAAGGCTGTGTTCTGTCTGGAACTCGGTGTTCATGGAAGATTTATTTGGGGGACCATTTACACCATGCCAAAATGGGAGTGGTTCCACTCCCTAACAGCCAAAAAGGGAGGGGGGGGGGTGGGGGTGTTGTGACTGCTGTGGCTGTGTCACTGTTGACTGCACCCTCCTCTGATTACTGCTTTTTTCTCTCTCTCTCTTTCTGTGTAGTGAGCTATTCATAACCTTATTCTCCCCTCATTAGGAACATTATGCTCTACATCCGGCAATAGCCAATATTCATAAAGCACTGGTTCCTGGCATTTGTTCTGAAGCTGAATGGCACCTCTCCCCACAAGCCCCTTTGATTTTAGTAAGATAGATGAATAAGCTACCTTGATGAATAAGGTACAATTCCCTAGGAAAAACAGTGCTTCTCTATCTTCCCTTGAAGGTGCCCTTATCTCTACAGAAAAAAACATCAGACCCAGAGACATTTCAGAATACTTTTTTGGTAACACCATTAAAAAAACCCACCCTTTTGGTTTTATAAATTTTCTTGCAAATCCCCTTCTACTGCAAAACATCTGGAATGTAGTGTGCTGCCTTCCCTCATGCTGTTTCCACTTGTGCCTSAAGCTTTTCAAAGCACAGACTTATCTATTATGCCATCACTTCTAAGCCACACTCAGTGATGGAATTCTTCTCGTATGAGTTAAACCTATGTTGCATTTTGAAAGCAGAATTTTGTCTAGACCTCAGCTGACAGTTTCTTTCACTGAAAGAGGGACAAACATGCTCGTTAAATGAAGAAGTTCTTTTCAAGTGCAACACTTTTAAAGCACACACTTTTCTCAAGTCCCTCCATTCAAATACCAGGTCACACAGCTGGCAGCAAGACTGCTGGCACAGAGGGGCACTGGATGGTAGCAACCCCAACCTGTGGGAGCCACCAAGAGTGACGTTACCAGATCACAACAGGGTCCAATTCAGCTCTCAGCCCAGCTGTGACACAGTAGAGCAGCAGGAAGACAGAGSTGTCTCTGCTTGTCAGCCACTGTTATAACTCCCTTCCCACCTATGCTGTATTACAGGCTTCAAAATATTTTGGTTTGCAGTTCACAGATAGGATCATTGGGTGATCCTTGCACAAACACTTACACACCAAATCTACTGCATTCTCAGAGAGACAACTCATCAGATTCAATTAAATAGTTTTGTTACAAGAAACATTATTAAAACATACTTAGAAACAAACTGGTGGACTTGACAACGCCATTGTGTTCAACAGAACAAGTGATGTTGACATCTTTGGTCACGTTGAGCAGCAGTTTTCCAGTGACGTTGTATGGGCTGAGGCTGGACTTGGACACCCAGCTGGCATTCCACTCCACGGACACATTGTTGAGGGCTCCAGAGATTTTGGGCTTGGGGAAACCTCCGTGAGAAGAACACACTATCACCATCTCAGTCAAGTCGCAAGAATCAGCCGTTACTTCTGCCGTTATGTTGGGATTGCTGAAGTCAGCTGAAGCRAGAGAGATTTGGTTATCATTCTGCCAGGCCATGGTGAGGGCTGCAGTCCCCTTCACCCACGGTCAAAGCAAAGACCCCTCACAGGGCATTCACCACATCTTCCATAGGTTTTTTTGCTGCCATGGTCTAGGATACCAAGCAACCAGTCACTAGTAAAAGAAACTTGCTCCGCTCTGCATGGCGGACCAGCAGCAAGCAAGGAGAGACAATTTTCTTTCCAGGCTCACCATGTGTTGAGCAATATGACACTGCCATCCAGTGTGGAAAGTCCCTTCAGCTATCCCAGCCTGTTTCTGGCATTTCCCTTTCCTGATCCCCACAATAACTTGATCCCTCTTCACCAAAGGGAGCAGAAGTCTACCACAATTGTTACAACTGGCCTATTAAGACAGCAAGGGGATTTCTGGCTGGAAAGAAACTGGAGTATTTGTGGATAGGAAAAGAGATCCGTAGTTTTACAATTTTCATGCAGTTAACTCCTCAACCCTCATGGTTAAAAAAGGGTGCTGGCAGTACACTTCCCTTTTTTCACACCAGTTCCCAGAAAGATCACTAAATTTGTCTCCTTTCACATATGCCCTCCATGCCCTCAGGCCAACAGGAAATGGCCAGATCTCAGGAGCTTGTCTTTTTTTATTTGTTGCTGAATCTCCTTCGATGAGGAATGCCCCTTCACTGACTTGGCTGGAAGACTCATGCAGGTCTTTGCTATTAAAGGTATTCAAATACATGTGTATATTTATGTATGTCACCAGTATCTCTTTGAGATCAGCTGCCACAAAAACACTGGTGGAATGGAAAATGTCAACGGAACGTTTTGTGGCTCTATAAGAGGATTCAGATTCATTTTGAGCAGAGGAACTTGGTTTCTTTAATGTAAGAAGCCTCAAAGCTCCACGATGATTTCAACCTTAGGCTGCRGAGCTGTAGTGCAGCCAGCCCCACACAGCCTGGGCCCCACAGGGGTTGGATGCTCCATTCCTCTTTTGGCTTGGATGCTTGCCAGGCAATAAGTGTGAGGTCTCACTTTGCRTGGGGAGGGCCCTGGGAGGGATCCTTTCACGAGAGGAAGGCATCAAGGGGCAGAGGTTGGGTTGGTGGTGGGAAATTTCTGTAGCCAGGGTAGCTTTGGAAAGATAAGAAGGGAGGCTGCTAGAATGRAAGCAGTTAACACACCTTCCAGCATGCTTTTAGGCTTCCTGATGGAATTCTATCTGCTACACTGGGAATAAGCTTGGAGGAGTGTCCTTTACCCCAGAAGCTGGCACTGGAGAGCCCCAGGTGTCAGCAGGCAATGCACCCACCTGTCACGAAGAGGGTGACAGACTGGCCACACACAACCATGGAGTTGCGCTGAACCACGCACTGGTAAGAGCCATTGTCCAGGATCTCCACGGGCGAGATCCACAGTGTGAGGTTCCGGGGGTCCATCTCCGTCCGCTGCTGGTAGCGCTCGTGCTTGGAGATCATGTTCCCCTCCGAGTAGGCCAGCACCACGTCCGTGATGTTCTTCTGCCAGTACACCCGGTACTTGTGCAGGCTTTCCGARCTGGGGATCTCATGGCAGCAGGGCAGGCTCACCTTTTCCCCCACTTTGCTTCTGATGACTTTCTCCTGCAGAGCTTGGCCTGCAGGTGAGGGGCAAACAAAGGTCAGYGAGGCAGTGGTACAGCCTTGTTTCCTAAAGCTCACCCTTTTTGGGTCTGACAGCTCACACTCCTCATCACCCASCAAGCTGTTTTACWGMCTCAGCTCTGCACYAASGGGAGCCSTCCCTGGGCAATGCTGTGTTCATCGTGCCCCACTCCTGCTCAGGATCATGAGCCAGTGGGCACACAAGGATTGCTGCATGGTTTGATGAAGACAAAGGCAGGAGAGCTACTTCCCTAACCAGAAATTTTGCTGGCCCCTTTAAAAAAGGGTAGAAACACACACAAACTGCTGTCTCCTCTGCTTTCCTGTTTCAGAGCTTGATTTTTGGAAAATCTGTGTCACTCTCCGGTGGGTTCCCTGCATGCCGAAGTGGGCTATTAGTTCAGGGGCACTGGGGGATTTTTGGAAGTTATTTTTTTTTTTTGTAAAAGAAAAAACTCCAAAACTTTCAAGATCCCAGAAACTAGAATCAACCCTACAAAGATATACAAAGATTGCAGCCACACTGTCATCAGCCTTCCAGCATTAGCAAATGAACAATTTTGCCTAATCCAGCTAGAATGAATTTATCTTTGTGAAAGCCCATGGGTCTCCCTTGGGATGACTTGGAAGCCAGCACAGATGTTCCCCAACTCCTGGCCAGTGACAGCCAGTGCCATGCCTAGAGTCCAGCCATGTGCCTACAGCGACAAACTGAGACTCTTCAGGGTGAAATTAGGGACAACTTTTACCACACTGGCAGTAATTCCTCTATTTGGCCTTATGGCTACTAAGCATCCTGCTCCCATGATCAGCTTTGCTTTCCCACTGCTTCCTCTTTCCAGGGGGTGAAGGTTCCCATGGCCTGAATCCAAGGGAGCAGCTGAGCAAGGAGCTCCTGCTGCTGCAGAAAGGCTCCAGCACTGGCAGACAGCTGTGTGCTGCACCTCAGGGCACATGGCTGGGCTTTCACCTGAGCTGTGCCAGCCTGGGGGTGGTGCACACCCAGCTTTGCTCACTCCACAAGGTTGGGTTGCTTCATGTTTGCCCTGCCTGCCTCGGCCTYATTTCCTTCGGTGGTGGAAGTAGGATATCAATCTGTTACACTCCACTGATTGAGAGCAGAAAAACAAGGAAATAGCTGTCTTCAGGTAAAARAAGAAAAGATTCAGATTCCTGTTCTTTCCCTGCAGAACATATCTCAGTAAACATGCCTGAGAGAGGAAGCAGGAAAGTCCTGACAGGCTGTGTGTCACTGATGGGGACAAGGCAGCGTCACCCATCGGTGTAGGGGAGAGCCCATGTGCAAAGCCTCAGCCTGAGGAGGTCTTTTCCAACCTAAACTGTGATTCTGTGAAATAAACTTTCACTGCCCTCCCCTGCTGCACAGCCACCCCTGTCCTGCTCACATACTTTACACTGAATTTGTAGGAAACACACCAAAAGATATGGTGGAGGTCCTGGCAACGCTATGGAATGTTTTAATATTAATTAAATAAAATAGGTAATTAAATGAGCAACTTCTTATTTAACCGGTTCCCCTCCACTCAGCCACTCCACTGGTCTTCTAAAGGGAAAGTTTTGATATTTTTTTCCCTCCCATTACATGTACTTCCCCTTTTAATGCATTGCAGATTCTGAGCAACCAAACTGGAGCAGACCAGGAATGCTGCTCAGCTCACTGACCTCTGTCAGCCATCAACTGGCAGCCAAATGAGAGAAAAATTAATTCCTCCACACAGGATAAAAATTGCCTTGTCTTGCCAACCTTTGGCAGGCCGAAATTCAGGGATTTTTTGACTTCAGCAGATTAAATGCTACTGCCAGACCTACCCCTCAGGAAGAGTTCTTGCCCTTTCAGGAATGCCCTTTCAGGAATGCACATATATTTTTGGCTTTCACAACACCCTCTGGCAACGAGCTGTGCAGTTTGATTGCATGCTCTCTGAGAAAGTTTTGTTCTGTTTTTCCTTCTGTTCACCTTAAAAGCAGCCCACTGCAGGCTGTGATTCTGGAAGTTCCTTCCCCTGCTCCTCTCTCTGTGTTTGTATGTATGTGTGTTTTTATCTTTGACCACATATTTGCTTGTTCTCACAGTTCAGCTCTTACTGTTTTTGGAGAGGCTCAGAAGAGCAGCCACTCAAACATCCAGTCAAACTTTGGAATTGAAAAAGACGTTTTTCTATTTTCTTTAGCAATAGGGGAAGAGTAGGTGTGAAGTAAATGTCAGGGTGACATCACATCATGAGTTGCATGAGGTTCTCCCTACCTTGCCCCTCAGAGTCTCCTTTGCCACCAAAAGGAGAACAAAAACCTTCTCGGGAGTCCATGTGCAGGGGCTGGAAACTCCTGCTGATGTCATGTCTACCCTTAAAAGGCTCTGCACCCTTGAAACTGCAACCTGAATACTGCAAGCCTGAAGGAACCAAAGTCCATGAAGAGTCATTCAGCCCTACAAAAGTCCCCTTTCACTTCAAAGGTGAACTGCAAAGCAAAAATGAAAATTCARTTCTGTACCGTTTCTGTGTCGAATGTTCTCTGCAACCGGGCTGTGGGGAAGGTATTCAACAAGGAAATAATTTTTAATGACTTTTCTAGAAAAAGATCCCTCCTCTTCCCACCTCTCTGAAGGTCACCCACTCCCTTGCTGTGCGCACAAAGCCTGTGGCATGTGGCAAAGCTGAACCAATGTAAGGGCTCACTTTTTCTTCCCTGGGAAGAAAATCTTATTTCATCCAAAAGATGCCTGTGCTGCAGATACCCCACACAGCAGGGCTAACAGAGACAGAAAGGTGAGGATAAAGGAGAGTTATTCCTTCTTGTTTGTTCCAAGAGTCACCAAGCAGGAGAGCTGTTGAGCCTGTATCCCTATTTCCTTCACTCTTTGCACAATCCTTGACTCAGAAACTCCCCAGCCACAGAGAGCTTTGTTATCCTGACCACACATGCAGTCAGGCAGCACATGAGAGCAGATTTTCTCTGGCACAGAAGTCTTGCAGAGACTTTTGACAGTAAAAGGCAGCTAAAGACTCAGCAATGCTCTGGAGAAGCAGCATCAAACTGTTGGAAACTTCCAGGTAAGTCCTGGTGAACAGAAGCTCCAAAGCCATTGTTTTCCCCCTGCCCTTCTCCATTTCTCTGCCCTTCTRAGTCTTGCTTTGCCTTTTTTCTTTCTGGTTCCCTATTTATCTTAGCAACAGCAGCTGGTAGCTCTACTTATAAATTAATGGCATCACAGACTTTGCCTAGGACCATGCACCTGGGATTCCCATTCTGCAGGTAATTCTCTCATACCCCTCATTTTCTGTGAATAGCACATTCACTCCAAACTTGCATGATTTACCCTTTGAAGGCAATGCAGCATTTTACAGGTATTTCCAAGCAAAACAGGTAATCAGTTGAAAAATAAATATTTTGAAAAGCTGAATTTTTAAAAGACCAGATGCTCCCCTTGATCTTGTCTTTGTTCCAGGTGATTTTACCAGTGAGGAATGATATTCCCCCCATGAGAATGGGGAGAATGATATTCTTTCCATGGAATCAAAATTCAGCAGACATCCTGTGCTACACAGGAGTGCATGAAATACATTTGCATTAGTGACTCCTGTGAATCTGCTGATGACAGAAAGACCATGTCAGATGCCCAGATAACCTCTGTGTGGAGACATTGGTTCAGAAGTGCACAAAAACACTGCTCTCCTCTGTGTTTCACTGTAAAGATCCTGTGCAACAAGAATGATGGGATGAAACAGAAAAGTGGGTGCTATGAGACCCTGCTTGCTGCTCTCTTTATGGAGTGTGTGACGGCAGATTGACCCAGACATGAGTGCCTGACAAACCTCTGGGGCTCCTTCTCCTCAGATTCCGCTGCAGCAAGTTCAGGCATGCAAAGAGAGGTCTTGGCAGACATAAAAAGGAGGAGTGGCCCCTTTCCCTTGCACAGCCCCAAACCTCTGATCACAAACCACAGGCTTGCTGCTGCTCTGGGCTGCTTTGGCAAAGCAAAGCAGYTGCAAACCCAGATGCTTCGCTCAGGTCCAGTTCCCTTACTCATCCCAAATGTGGTTAGAGAGGGGAGCGGAAAAGAAGGCSTCCCAAATAAAACCAGCAATGCACTTGGTTTGGTGGTGATTCCACTCAGTTCCCTGTGCCTGCTCACACTTCCCAAGTGTGCCTGCAGCAGATGAGTGACAGGATTAATCTTATGTATGCTGATGTCAGGTTAAAGGTAGGGAAATGGTCTGAACAGGTTTTTCTTAAAGGTCATCCTGCCTGCTTCAGTGCTGCAGTCTCAGGGTGCCCTGCTTGGAGCAGCAGAGTGAGGGCAGGGCATCCCTTAGGTGGCTTTTGCACTTCCCATCTTCATGCTGCCACATTCCTCCTAAACAAAACAGCAACCTTGGCTTGCCCAGCTCTATGCAGTTGATTTGGCAATTATTGTAACATCCCCAGGGTGTTTTGGTGTCCCACTCCATCGGCAGCTTCCATTCCAGTGTAATGCTGTTTTATTTTGTGTGTTTGCACCTTTAGTGAAGAAATCCTTGAAGCCACGAGGTGGCTGTGAAAACCAGAGGACCATGTGCAATTAGCATCTGAGAAGACAAAGGGGAATCCGAAATGCTTTGTCAGAGGGGCTCGCTGCAGTGCTGGGGCAGCTCCAGCCAGCTGACCTTTTGCTCCAGCTCAGGTTTTGGTGCTTGTGGAGATAAAGATCTYGTGCTTTCTGAGTCAGCCTGGGACAAGCCCGCTGCCCGGGTATGTCCAGTCGGCTGTGTTTGTTTCACGAGTAAAATCGCAACTCTGCACAAGGCACTGCCAATTTTCTCATTTTGGCACCAGTCAAGAGGTCAGACCCAAGCAAGGAGCTGGATTTGGGGCCAGAAGAATTTGGAGATGGGGACTAGGTCATGTCTTAGCTCTTCCCCTCTGCTGCAGAGTGAGTGCTCCACATGGGCTCTGCCCAGGGAGGAGCTGATGGCGAGCTCATTTATCTCCC